TTATTCGATGTGGACTATAATTTTACCTGAAATTATTATGGCACTAATGTACTATTTGTTTACTTTTATTAATCTAAGAAAATTTAGAGAATTCATCATCAACAATTAATGATGCTCAAGGTACAGACCACCGTAGTGCAACTATTCGTAGAAGGTCTTCAATTGACGGGTGTTTTACTCCATATATTACACCAATGAGTAACATAAGTAACGGTAAAACTTTTACCTTAATGCGTTATATAGTTAGGTGGCATGGAATCTATATATATATATATATATATATAAAATTTGTTAGTACAAATTTTCTGACCAATTAATTGTTTTTTGGTCTATTCGTAATATATTTTTAAATATAAATGATGATCTATGTGTAAATTCAGGTACTGACAATATACACATTAGTGGGTGTAACATAACACCAATAATAGGCTCAAGCAATTCAAAGCACTATATTTTCGGACGGTTTCAATGCTCAGTACCCTCCGCACCGACATCTATATTAACTGGTAATTTTCTATACACAAAATTATTATAGTTTTAATTTGTGTAGTAGGACTGTATTTATTTATCGTGTGGTGGTTGACTCTAGGTTTTAACGCAACACCAAAAGGGGCAATGCGACAACCGTTGCAAAACATATCTAACTTTAATCTTGGCTCAAGCGAGGTTAGTAGTCCGGACCCTACTAAAGAAGCAAATGTCGTCAATAGAGACTTGCTATCATCGTTTGAAGAAGAATCTATAGCGTCAATGATCCAAACAACAAATAATTGTTCTTCCGGTAATTACTAATTTCTTATGTATATATTATGATTATTAATTTCGGTATTTAATTTCTTATCTTTTAAATTGAACAAGTATAATTGTACTATGTATTTATACATAAATGTCAATGTTGTCAATATAATTGTCTAACGACATGCCGAACTTAAACAAAATTAATATGAGTGAATTTTGAATTAGATACATTAATGTAATTACTACTTTCTTATGTATATATTATGATTATTAATTTCGGTATTTCTTTTATTGTTATTCCACTTATCTTTTAAATTGAAAAAGTATAATGGTACTATGTATTTTAGCTATATATCAATAATGTCAATATAATTGTCAAACGACTTGCGGTACTTAAACAAAATTAAATTTAGTGAATTTTGAAATAGAGACATTTTGTAAGTATAATTATACCTATTAATATAACTTTATACAAAATAGTTGATATACAATCATTTGTTGTTAGAGACATTTATGCTTTGTATAAAACAGTGCTCTAAATGTCATTCTATATCAGCATGCCCCAATCCTGCACAAGGAATTACTGCCACTACAGATTTGATTAGTGAGGTTGCTGAACAACGAGTACTCTACGATATTGCTACAACATCTACGTTTACACATGGTACGTGTTAACGATTAATAGTTATGTTCCTTGCACATACTTAATATCGCCTACTAAAATAAAGTCCTAATGCAGTTGAGTACTTTGATTTGGGCGATGCAACAAATACTTGTGAGCATTGTGGTGCGTTCTTCTAGTTCGAGGAGAGACAAAATAAAACTGTCACTAGGGGATTACCGAGGTTTTCAATGTGCTGCAACAATGGTAAGATTACGTTGCCTACACTGCCATTGCCACCCAAAGGTATAAGCGAATTATTCTTCGGGAATGGTGAACTATCAAGAAAATTTCTCTAGAACATCAGAACATACAACAACATGTTCTGTTTCACATCTATGGGTGGTAGAATCGACAGGAGTGTGAATAAGGGAGGCAGACCGCCAGTTTTCCGATTAAATAGACAAAATTATCATTTGATGGGTAATCTTCTTCCAGAAGAAGGCAAGCCCCCACATTTTGCCCAGTTGTACATATACGACACAAGCAATGAACAAAACAACCGTATCAATGCTGTAAGGTAAACAAAATAGCCGGTTATTAGTTAATATATATATATATATATATATATATATATATATATATATATATATATATATATATATATATATATTGTAGACGAATGTATTAATAATTTCCTATTTATTGTTTCATTTAGGGGTGCTGGTGAGCAAGATGACATTCATGTGGAAATAGTAAATGTAATTCAGGGTGAGTTGGATAAAAATAATGTTTTAGTTAAGACTTTTCCGATGGCTAAGTCTGAAATTGATAGAAATCCTGGCGTTGAAGTAAAGATTAAGTTGCTTGGCAAGCGCAATAAAGATGCAAGGACATACAATTTACCGCAAGTGTCGGAAGTAGCTGCTTTAATTGTTGGAGATCTTGATACTGGTATTGGTGAGCGTGATATTGTCGTTCAAACTAAGAGTGGCCAACTGCAGAGAATAAGTGAATTAAATCCTTCCTACTTACCACTTCAATACCCATTGTTGTTTCTGTATGGTGAAGATGGTTATCGGGAAGACATAGCATTTTCAAGCATAAAAGGCAACGTGGGTGGTGGTGGTAGACAAGGATCAGTCCAAGAGAGTTTTTTTGCTATCGCATGCAGTCGAGAAAGTCGGTTTTGAGTACACTAGTACATGCTAAGCGGTTATTCCAACAATTCGTTGTGGACGGTTACACAATGGTTGAGTCAGGAAGACTCATTTATATCAGGACACACCAAAAAAGCCTTAGGTGTGAAACATACAGTGGATTGACCGATGCTTTAACTAGGGGAGAAGTAAACCCGGCAACGCAAGGTCGTAGGATAATACTACCTTCGAGTTTTATTGGCAGAGCTCGATACATGATACAGAATTACCAGGATGCGATGGCAATCTGTAGATGGATTGGATATCCAAATTTATTTATCACTTTTACATGCAACCCAAAGTGGCCAGAGGTGCAACGTTATTTGCAAGACCGAAGGTTGAAAGCAGAAGACCGTCCTGGCATCATTTGTAGGTTATTCAAGATGAAATTGGATGCCTTAATAGCTGACTGTAGAAAGAACAAACTGTTTGGCTCTATGGCTGGAGGTAATTTTCTCATTTAGTCATCAATTTTTACTATTATTAACGTCTGAAAAGACGATTAACATTATTTGGTTATGGTTGTTATGTTGCAGTTATATATACCATTGAGTTCCAAAAAAGAGGTCTTCCGCATGCTCATATACTACTGTTTTTGGATACAAAACAAAAAGTGGGCCAAGTTGGTACTCTCGAAAAAATCATTTCAGCTGAGATACCAGATGAAAATACAGATGCAGAATACTATAAAGCAGTTGAGGAATTTATGATGCATGGGCCATGTGGAAAAACACAGTTGAATTCGCCCTGTATGGTAGACGGACGATGTTCAAAACATTTTCCTAAGAGATTTGTTGATTGTGCATCTTTTGATGATGATGGATATCCGTTATATAAACGACGGGACAATGGGATGACAATTACAAAGAATGGCATTGCATTGGACAACAGGTATGTTGTACCGCACAATAGACATTTGTTGCTTAAATACAAGGCTCATATAAATGTAGAGTGGTGCAACCAGTCCCGCTCAATCAAGTACCTGTTCAAGTATGTAAATAAGGGACATGATCGGGTAACAGCCGAGTTCTACAAAACTAGCAATGATGAAGACACTACTACAGTCATAGATGAGATTAATATGTACTATGACTGTAGGTACATATCACCCAGCGAAGCGGTTTGGCGTTTGTTTGGTTTTGATATATAACTTAGGGCTCCTTCAATGGAAAGGTTAAGCTTTCACATCCTGAATCAACAAACGGTGGTGTTCTGCGAGGACAATCCAGTTGAGAACATTGTTAATAGACCCACTATAGCATAGAGCATGTTCTTAGAATGGTTTGAGGCTAATAAGACATTCCCAGATGCAATAAATCTAACTTATGCTGAGATGCCAACGAAATTCGTGTGGAAGAAATATGTTAGAAAATGGCAGCCAAGGCAAAGACGTTTCGCAATCGGAAGGATTTTTTACGTACCACCAGCCACGGGGGAAATATTTTATCTTAGATGTTTGTTGAATAAAGTACTGGTCCTAGAAGTTATGCCGATATAAGAACTGTTGATGGTGTGCAATATGGTTCATTCCGAGATGCGTGTTATGCTAGGGGTTTAGTTGATGATGACAAAGAATATGTTGACGCAATTGAGGAAGCAAGTCATTGGGCGTCTGGAGATAAGTTGGGGAGATTGTTTGTTACATTGCTAATGACAAGTTGTATAGGAAAACCGGAAGCCGTTTGGAGTGCTGTGTGGCAACATCTGTCTGAAGATGCACAATATCAAATACGAAAACAATTGCATAATACAGGTACACGAGCTCTTACTATGCATTTTTTTTCACTATGATTTGGCTAAAAAATGCTATTCATTACTAAAATTGAAAAAACAACAAAAAAAAAAATCTATACTAAATTATTGCTTGAAAAATATGCAGATTATGTCATGAATGATGCTGAGAAGAAGAACTTTGCTTTAGTTGAGATTGAAAAGATGTTATCAATGATGGGAAAGAGTTTGAGGGACTTTCCAGAAATGCCAACGGAAAACTACGAGACACACAGTTTAATATCCAATAGGCTCATACAGGAAGAATTGGCATATATTGTCTTGCTCAGGAGAAAGAGAATCTGGAATTGGTCAGTCAATTAATAGAAGAGAAAAAAGGAGTTTATGACGAAGTGTTAAAAGATATTGAAGGGAAAGCTGTGGGATTATTCTTTGTTTATGGTTATGGAGGTACTGGTAAGACGTTCTTGTGGAGAGCATTGTACACCGCTTTAAGGTCAAAGGGTGAAATAGTGTTAAATGTTGCATCTAGCGGCATAGCTTCTCTTCTGTTACCAGGTGGCAGGATTGCACATTCTCGGTTCGCTATACCTATATCTGTGAATGAAGATTCCACTTGCAACATAAGTCAAGGCACCCATTTGGCTCAGCTGATTATGTAGACCAAGTTGATAATCTGGGATGAAGCTCCAATGATGCACAAACATTGTTTTGAAGCCCTGGACCGAACTATGAGGGATTTGTTGCGCTCCAAAAATCCAAATAGTTATGAAATGACATTTGGTGGTAAAACAGTTGTATTTGGTGGAGATTTTAGGCAAATTCTACCTGTAATTCCAAAGGGCATAAGACAAGATATTGTGGGGGCGAGCAAAAATTCATCATATCTTTGGAGATCCTGTAAAGTTTTTAGGCTAACCAAGAATCTACGACTAAGAAGTGTACAATCATCGATTGAGGCTAAAGAAATTGAAGAGTTTGCAAACTGGATAGCTAATATAGGGGACGGAACACTTGGTAATTCAAGTGACGGTGAAGCAGATATTACAATTCCAGATGAGTTATTGCTTCGTTGTGATGATGACCCTATTGCTACCATTGTTGATAGCACATTCCCTGCCTTTAGACGTGGTAATGTGGATCTGTCATATCTTAAGGATAGTGATATATTGGCTCCAACATTGGATGTGGTAGATAGCATTAACAAATACATGAATGATCACAATCCCGCGGAGGGTATGACGTATTTGAGTTGTGATTCAGTTTGTAAGTCAGATTCAAATGCAGATATGTTGGCGGATTTGAACACTCCTGAATTCTTGAATGGTCTGCATTGTTCTGGAGTACCTAATCATGCATTGACATTGAAATTTAGATCACCGGTTATGCTCTTGAGAAATATTGATCACACTCTTGGCTTATGCAATGGTACAAGGTTGATTGTAACAAGGTTAGCTGATCATGTGTTGGAAGGCCAGATAATTTGCGGTACAAATGCAGGTACTAGAGTACTTATTCCCAGAATGTCACTTACACCGTCTGATCTAAGATTGCCTTTCAAATTCCAATGAAAGCAATTTCCTGTGATGCTATCCTATGCCATGACAATAAACAAAAGTCAAGGACAAACTCTTTCAAAAGTGAGGTTGTTTTTAAAAAGACCAGTCTGTAACCATTGGCAAATGTACGTAGCGGTTTCAAGAGTTAGCAATCCTAGGGGTTTAAAAATATTGATTTGTGGCGAATATGTAACATGTCTAAGTAAGACAAAATATATTGTGTACAAAAAAGTTTTCAATAATGTGTAATCAAATAACAATTTTATTGGGCCCTATTGTATTACATTTTCAATAACTATATTTTATACGGTATATTCCATATACTATACATATGGCCGTGCATCGCACGGGTGCAACTACTAGTATGATAAATAGTCACTCCCTGAGGGGTGTTTGGTTGGATGGAAGTCAAATTTCATGGAAAATGTTTTTTAAAAGTGTAGGAAAATGTTGTTTTATGTTGTTGTTTAGTTGGATGGAAAATCTTTTCCATTGGAGTTTGAGTTCCTGAAGTTTAAGGAAAACAAAATCCTAGCAAGACATTGGTATTTTGTTTTCTAAAGGATTTGGGAAGAAAGTATAACAATATTGGACTATTTTACCCTCACCAAAGTTTATTAATTACATATGTATGTATTATTGTTAATGGCAGATTGATCTTAAATAGAATTTATATTCCTAGTAATTTTTTTTCCACCAACCAAACAATGAAATTTATTTTCCTGATAATTTGTATTCCATGGAATTTGAATTCCATTTCCCATCAAATATTTTTCAGCGAACCAAACGGGCTGTGATAGTGACTATTTTCAATCATTATTATATGGACCATGGTCCACACAAGCTGTGTGGATCATATTTTGTATTTACATTCAATAAAAATAATAATATACTTTTAGTATATTAAAAATGTACATTGTATTAAGGGGATGTACATTATTTGTGTACTGAGTGTATATTATATTGTATAATATACATTCATTACACAAATAATTTACATTTAGTATATTAAAAATGTATTTTTTTTATGGTTCACACAGCATTGTGTGGATCATGGTACACACAATAATTTGCAGACTATTTTTGTGTGGGCTAGCTTTTTTTTTTTTATTTTTTATTTTTTATTTTTATTTTTTATTTTTTAATGGTGAATTTCAATTCACCATAAAATGTGGAAATGAATGTGTGGGAGTGATAAATATAAGGGAGTGTAGTAAAGTTCTTTTATTTTAAGGACCTTGTGGTCTACCGGTACCCGGTTGCTTTCTTAAGTAGGAGGTGATAGGTTCGAACTTCAGTTAAGGCAAATATAATCTGTGTATGTAAGGTATTCCCTTCCTTATAATAAATAAATATAAGGGAGTGTAGTAAAGTCCTTTTTATTTTTTTTCCTTTTCACTTTATCTAATAAAATCATGTGTTATGTTCTGGTTGATCAAAACTAAAAGTGGAGCCTACAGTTCTTTATTTTATTTTATTTTTTTAATTTTTTTTCTTCATAATATAATGTTTTTAATCAAAATATGTGATTTGAGTTTTAACTCTCTACTAGTATATTTATCATTTTTCAAAGAGTAAATGACCAAAACTTGAGAATGGATAGAGAAAATGGAACTTTTGCAACAAAATTTGCATCATATATGGTGACTTGAAATATAACTAATCAATTTACGAGTAATTAATGAGTTTGAATTTTATTATACCAAATACTATATACATTGAATGAAACAAATTTTAGTATAAATTGCTTTTATTTAAAAAAAATGAAAAAAAAATTCTTTTTTTGGTGACAAAAAAAAATAAAGAATCTTGATAACTCTTGATTCCTCAATCTCCACATTTTCCTCATTTAGTGCACGGAATCAAGTCCAAACCAAAAAAAAAAAAAAAAAAAATTAGGGTGTGTTTGGTTTATGGGATTAAACAAAAGGATGAGAATGAAAGCTATACACATTGTTTGATTGACAACTTTTTAAAATACAAGTATAGAATTTGAATATCCAATAATTACAAAACTCATTACTTAATTTAAATTAGGTATTATTCTATTAATTCAATCCTATCTCTCATCATTTCATTGCCTCATCATTTTGTCACCTTCTCACTTGTCTCTCTTCAGTCCTCACCTCATCGACTTTCTTACTACATTGCAAACTCACTTTATCGCCACTCTTAAAATCAATTGCTTTTTTTTTTTTTTTTTTTTTTTTTTTTGTTTTTAAATCCTTTATTCAGATTATAAGGTCATACATAACCAAACATCAATATTGGTAATCATTTCAATTCCACATTACTACTAAACATCCAAAATACTTTCACCAAAACACATTCCAATTATCAAGTATTTGATTCCCATTTGGATTCTAATTCTCATGTTCAAAGCAAACACACCCTTAGTGTAGTATATTTATAGACATCATGATTCTTTGGGAATCTCCACAGGACGAAAATCGACTGATAAGAACTTTTGAAATTAAGGTTATATTTGTGTGAGATCCTCTCATGAATCCTTATCAGTAAGGATGGTCGGGTCGGATTGGGTCAATATGAAAATATAATACTTATACTGAAAAATATAATTAATATTAATAACTTAATCAAGAATAAAGACCATGTTTGGTAAATGGTTGTTCGTTGATAGCTGTTAGCTGTTAGCTGATTGGGTTAATTAGATGATATAACTAGTTGATAACATTAGCTAATTGAGAAAGGTATTTGGTAAATTAGCTGTTAGCTGATAGCTGTTTAGTATAATTCTTTTCTCAAAAAGCTAATTGAAAAAGTTGCTTTGAGTAGTTTTTTGAATTTTAGCATTTTGGAGTACAAAAAGCTAATTAACCAAACACTTATATTGATTTTTAAACCAAGCTAAGTCAAACAACTAAAAGTAGTCAAATAAGCCAAAATTGACCTATAGGCTAACTATTTTACCAAACAGGGCCAAAATGTTTGTTACTTAAGTGAAAGTGTAATACTTTTGAGGAAAAATGTAGTACTTTTACTTTTTTAATTTAAAAGTATTACATTTTTCATCAAAAGTAGAGAAAATTACACTTTTAGTCCTATAACTATAGAGGTCTTGTTAATTTCAGTACTTGACTTTAAAAACTAACAATTTAGTCCCATAACTATGCAATTTTTAACACATTTGATCCTCACAGCCAAATCACCGATCAGATGTTGCCGGAAAATTGTAAACCATTTATAATTATTTAATCATGAGGACAAATAGGTCATTTCAAGCCATTTCTTCTTCTTCCTTCTTCTTCTTTCTTCTTTGTTTGTTTAATTCGTTCCTTCTGCAGTCGTTCTTCCTAACCCCCTCCTCCTCTTTGTGAAATATGACGAGTTCATCTATATATGCACTATCAGTATCAGTGTCCAGTGAACATCTAGGATGTAACATTCTGGGCCTACTTGGCTCCTTCCTTTCTTGAGATGAAAACCTTCATACTTCTAACCACTCTCAGAATTAAAAACATATTTTGTTTGACAAGGTGTAAATACAGTGCGAGTAAAAGTGCTGGAATTTTAGTATTTTCATGGCCTTTATCTTAACGGATGACTTCCATTATATCCCTGAACCTAGTTCCTAGTCAAACTATATAGAAATGTCTTTAAAATGCAAGATGCATAGTTTTTTAAAACCTCTTGTACCTGAATGGCAAAAACTCTCAATGTAGCAGGAAAGACTTTTAAAGTCTTTGCACTATGACTGATCCCTAATTAATTCTGTTGTTCAAATTCGCAATTCAGGAAGTGGAATTGAAAAACCAAGCCGAAGAGGTAGCAAAAGCGAAAGAAATGGAAGAAATGGCACCATCTCTTCGCTTCCTCAGAAATTGAATAAAATTTCTCACTACTTTCGAAGAAGAAGAACGACGGCAGGCGGAACGAATTAAACAAACAAAGAAGAAGAAAGAAGAAGGAAGAAGAAGAAATGGTTTGAAATGACCTATTTGCCCTCATGATTAAGTAATTATAAATGGTTTACAATTTTCCGGCAACATCTGGCTGGTGATTTGGCCGGAAGGACCAAATGTGTTAAAAATCGCATAGTTACGGGGCTAAATTGTTAGTTTTTAAAGTCGAGTACTGAAATTAACAAGACCTCTATAGTTATAGGACCAAAAGTGTAATTTTCTCTCAAAAGTATTATACTTTCCCTTAAAAGTAATGTTGACAAGTGTTTGTTATAAGAGAAAATGTAATACTTATAAAAAAAATGTAATTCTTTTAAATCAAAATGTAAAAGTATTACACTTTTTCATACAAGTAATAAACACTTTATTCCTGACTATTATTATATTTTTCTGTATAAGTATTATATTTTTATCTTGACCCGATTCGTTTCATGCACAAAAATCCGTGAAACAGTATCACAAGTTTTTGCCCACAATATTGTCACAAAAAAACAAAAATGCATTTATGGAAACCATTGTTTTGCGGGAATCCATTAAGATTTGTTATACAAGATATGATGATGATGATTGCCAATGAAGATTTGTTAAGATCTAAGGTGTGTGTGGTTGACAGACTAAAGTCATATAGATTGTTTGGTTGAGAAGTTTTTAAAATAAAGGTATAATATTTGATTACCCGTATAATTAGAAAATACATTATTCAATTTAAATTAGATATGTCAATTATTATGTAGCGTGATGACATCCCGATTACCATTCTAAATGGGTGGTCATAAGTTTGAACTCCGGTAGTGGGGCTTAGATTCTTTAGGTTGAAAATGTTTGAGAAAGTATCGAACATGTATTGTATTGTAAAGAATCATGGGTATATCCTTCCTAATTTCATTACCCCCTTGTTGCATAGGATTAGTGTTTTTAGATTTTTGTTTTGATTTTTTGTTCATATTGTGCTTTAGATATAATCATATTAGGATCAATTGTCTTTTTTTTTTTTTTTTTTTTTTTTTTTTTTTTTTTTTTTTGTATTTTTAAAATCGTTATTCCAATTATAGGTCATACATAACCAAACAACAATTGTTGGTTTTAGGA